ATGTCAAGGACAACTAGACAGAAATTACTGCAAATGGATTTAGATCACTAGAATCCCTATTTTTATTAACTCTTTGAACTCTGGATATTTACTGTGGTGAGAAATTACCCATGACAGGTTATGTGGTCTGAAAGATTTGTTTGGATCCTTTGATATGTTTTGGCTGTAGCAAAGAAATCAGTACAATTCACTGAATTGTATTAATTTATGCAAAATTATATATTAGCTGAATGGAATACAGGAATAATATCATTATGCATATACATTGCTCAGTTGGCCAGTGAATATTTTTAAAATTTTTAAAATTCTAAAATTTTTAGACTTTTTTTTTTCAACATTAGTGTTTTTTGTTTTATTTCCTTGCATTTCCTCATTTTATACCTGCAAACGGATGTACCTTCTAGGGAAGTTTATTTTGTGTTGTTATTTATGATGTTTTCCTTTACATCTTGGTTTACACTGGCTGACTAAATGCTTGTCATTTAGGAAGATCATATTTTGAGACTTTTCTTTCATGAACATTTGTAGCTTGAAACAGAAACTTTTCAGAAAACAGAAACTTTCTCAAAATCCTGGTAACTTCAAACCAGCATTCATTTGCATAGAGTGGGGTTTGCACCGACTCTTTACCTTTAGTTACAGTAACTGTGCAATAGGAGTTGCAAGGACCCACTTGTCAAATATTCTCTCTGTTAAGCCGAAAGCAGATCGGGAGACAGAAGATCCTCTGTGCCCCACCCACTGGTGCACATATTATCAATGAGAGGCATTTTTCCTCTGCTAATTTCTAAGTCTCCTAATCCCTACCTTAAGGGTGAGTTTAATAATTACCCTTTCCAAAGTATGGAAACTGTGGTTTGTAGGAACCTAGGTTTTATAGCAAATTGCACTGTGCATAATAGTGAATGAAAAAGGGCAGATACTATCAGAAAAATCTACAGTCTTAATCTCTGATCTAAAGACCACTGAAATTGCTAAAAATGTTAATTTCTGCTTCTGTGTGATGAGCATTTGACAAAATATAGCTGGGCTAAAGCATGTAAGAATAAATTATGTTATGCACTATTTAGGAACAATTTGATAACATCTTCTAATAGCTAGGATAATAAATCAAAAGTTTGGCAGGAGGTTTGCAAGGAGATTAAAAAAAATCTTTCACATCTCTAAAACTTAAGCAATGTAGCAATGTAAAATCATTGTCATTCTTTTAGACTTTTAGTACTTGAAAAGGTGTAAAGCTGACATTACAAATATGTAATAACCTATGTAAAGACAAAAAGTAATCTTTTCTCCATATCCATGATAGATTGATGGATAGGACAAAGAAAAATAGGCTTAGATCACATAAGAAGAGATTCAGGCCAGGCATTAGGTAAAACTTCTTCACATGAAAAATACTGAAGTCAGTTGATAAATGGATTTTGGATCTGCTGTCGTTCAAATTCTGGGACAGAAGGGCAGACAAGTATCTGTCAGGTAGTAGGTGTAGCTGAACCTCTTTTGGACCAATGAATGGGCTAGATCACCTCTTACATGTGATCCTGAACAATTAGATATTTGAGATGCCTGCTCCTATCTTGAACAAACAAAGCACCAGAAGAGCTTTTTGTCTCTACCCATATAATTTATTAGAATATAAACTAGAAGAAACCTACTTTTGAAGTAGAGAAGACTCAAAATCTGGCTCAGAAAAATTTAAATAGGTTTTGCAAATAAGCCTAGCCTTTGCTAATGTTATCTTTTCCTTCATTTTTGTGCTCATTCTTGCAACTTTCAGTGGCTTCTTTGTTGAAAAAAACCTCTCTGGGCCCTCGGAAAGCTGTCTTTCCCTGGTTCCTTCATGTTTGCTCTCTGCTTTCCTCAGCAATCTCCCAGGCTCTGTCTTTCCTGGTTGCTCTGTCCCTGCTGCCCCTTTCTCTCTGCGTCTCCCAGGTTGGACCTCTTCTCGCTAAGCATGCTCAGGTGCTCTGGAGGAAGGGAGCATTTGCCTTTCCTTCCTCACCCAGCATCTGCATTTAGCACGAGGTAGAACAGACCTTTTTTTTTCCCTTTTCCAAAGCAGTGAAGTGAAAATATGAACAGAATAAACTGTGAACAAGTAAACCTTTCTAACACACTTCTCTAGATTCCCTCTCATCTTCTCTTTTCTATGCTTCCAAACACGTGAAGACACATTTTGAAGAATTTTCCAGTGCCAACATGTTCACAGTTATGGGATGCCACGAGATTCTGTGACGGGCCTATTTTTTAGTGCATATTCATTCATTTTCCAGAAATACGAAAGGGATGGATTTATCTGAATTATTTTTAAGTACTGCTGTTTACTAAGTATAGTCAACAGTAGAGGCAACAGATTTTCAAGATGAGTTAAGCAATACCAAAGCAAATTGAATGGTTGGTGCAAAATACAGGAAATACGTTAATATCTGGGAGAACTCACATGCGACATTGTACATATCTCAAGAAAAGGTTCAATCCATGCTATGTAGTACTCAAATAAGCCAATAAAATTGTAGGCTGAACTGAAAATAGCATTGAAGTGAATACCGAAACTATGACAGTGGTTTTATTTAATTTTTTGAAAAAGTGTTTAGTTTTGTTAATCTGACTAAAAAAATTAGCAGAATGTGTAACTGAAATGATTTGGGTTCTAGGGAGAGTGCCAGAGTGTCATTTGTAGAGGATTTAGAAGTCTGGCACTGGTTAGTTTCCAGAGCACAGGAATAAGACAGGTCAAACTAAACATATACAATATAATAAATCTTATGAAGAAAGTAATTCGCATGCTTTCTGTTTACTCCATTTCTATTTATGTTTTCTGCTATCCCAGACAAGGGAACATTAAATTACACTGAAAGCAAATAGCAACAAAGATAAAATTACTAGATGGAAGTACCATTAAAAATATTCAGTGACTTAAATCCCTTTGTTTCAAGATACCACTGAAGTCAAAAGGTTAGTTGAATTCAAGTAAACACTAGATGTGCCTCTGAGTAACACAAATCTTTCAGATGCGTTAGATGTAAAAGTTCACAATTAGAGCCAAAGACTTGAATGTTTGAAAGAGCCTATATGTCTATGATGGAATCAAAAACTTCCTTGTTATTTGACATTATAGGTTAGTACACCACCGTATTGCATAAAAAGTTGTAATAATTAAAAAGCAGTGGTTTGTATGTGTTTCAAAGATCTTGTTCAAAATAGAAATAAACTTTGTTTAAAAGTTATAATTTTTCTGTACTAAATTTTGTTTTATTTGAATATGATGCTTATGTATTTTGACCTAATAAAACTTCAACATTCGTAGGTCCTCAAGAATATGATGTTTCTTTGAGATAATGCTTTTATTTTGTCAGTCAGTAATTTGTAGATGTAATTTGCACATGTTGCTTTGTGACTAGCCCTTAGTCCAAAATTAATAGTAATTTGTTGAGCTCTAGAAAGGTTTCTGTCTGATTTTCTCCAACTGGGTGCATTCTTGTTAGATAGACCAAAGGGCTTCCTCAGGAACATGAGTAATAATGAATTGTGTTTAGAGAAAAGGGCAGAAGTTTGCTCTTGGAGATACTCTGAATAAATTAGAGGTATGTAACCAAAATGAAGATCGCCAGTCAAATAATCTCCTTTCTTTTGACATTGTAGGATATTCCGGATCGGTTTTTGCCTTGCTTTACTTTAGCTGCTGTTTTACTGTTTACCACATATAATATTTTTTAATATTTTTTGATTTTTGAAATTACATGTTTTATAATGAGCTATTAATTCAAGCCCAGGCTCACTTGGTTAATATTTTGCACTGGCTAGATATTGATTAGCATTATATTTTAGCTTAGTCTGGATTCATACTGTTTGTAGTATATTACAAATGATGTAAAGAACCCAAGCAAATTGCCTCTCTAAATTTTTAACATAAATAAATTTTAACTGAATAATTGCCTTAAATAATTAACTTAAATTTTTAACATAAATATTCATATGTTTGTTTTTAATGATTAAACTTGAAAGAACCACCTATGCTTTAACTGTTCTATTCCCTATGGAGTTGCAGATCAGGTTTAATTAGATAAGTTAGTGTCTGCAGTGATTTTTTTATGCTCTGCATGTCTGCAGTCTTTGAAAGGACCACAAAGAGATTCAGATTTCAGGTGCTGTGTCATCAGTTTTCATCATGTTACACAATTGAATGCCATAGTGCTTTTAACAATGTAAATTTTGTGAATTTAATCCATATCTGGATATTAGAAAAGAGATGGTGGGCTTTAAAGCTTTTTTGCTATTGCAGTTCAGTAGTTAAATAATAGATAGCAGCAAATGGAGATATTTATTATGTCAAAACTATTGCATTTCTATTTAAATATCATAGACATTGGGAAAACTTATCTAAAATGCAATAAATACGCTGCAGAAGATCTTTGCTACTCAGTTAATGAACATTCACAGCTTAAATACTATGTATCTATATTTTAAGGACATTTACTATACTGACATTTTTCTTTCCATATTTTTTGAAAATTTCTTACAGTAGAAAAGTTCTTCCAGGCTAAATTGTATTTCTTTATGTAATCAAGTTGCCACATTTTCTTATGCAGTTAAAGCATACAGGGAAAGTAATACCATGATAGTGTTATATTAGCAACTTTTTTTCCTTTTGAACAAGTTTAGCTAAATGGTGATTAAAAAAACCCCATATGTTTATAGTATTGAGGGATCAGCGTGCAGTTTGTTGTAGGAATTATCCTGATCTGTTTTATTGATAGGTGCTGCTTTTACAAACTTATATCCTTTATGCAAACAAATATGAGAAATACAAATATTGTCTAATATTTCATTATGACATGTATTTTTGAGCTAAAGTACAAGAAATAGATTATAAAATTTCACAGAAACGTGAGACAAACAGAAATGCTTTAATGGCTACTACAGCAAAGACCAGTTCTAGTATCATCATTTAGCATCTCTGTGTAAATGTAAAGTTACATGGTGTGTTTTCTCCCTGATAGGAGTTAATTCCAGAGTTTTACTACCTACCGGAGATGTTTGTCAACAGTAATGGCTATAATCTAGGAGTCAGAGAAGATGAAGTTGTTGTGAATGACGTTGAGCTCCCTCCTTGGGCCAAGAAGCCTGAAGACTTTGTCCGTATCAACCGGATGGTAAGCAGCATTTTACTTTAGCCCGAGTAATGAGGTCTGTGTTTTAAGGAGCTAACCTATTGCTGTTTTTTTTTTACCTCTTCAGAACTAGGTTTGAAAAATAAAAGATACAGTGAGAGAGAGTTTTCTTTCTGTTTTGCTTGACAGAACTCTTTATTTTAAATTGGATTTTCCTTTAACGTGACCAAATAATGGAATCTGAAATTCAGTTAATTATTTCCTCATGAGAAGGCATCAGATGGGCATCAGTCGAACAGCACAGGACAGCCTGAAAAATTCAGGATGTTCCTTCTGACTGTCTTGTACAAGAAAAAAAAAGTTATTATAAATGCTTTTGTACTGAAAGAAATAGTATGTTCTTACTTGACCAAAGCTAGGCACTTCTTATTCAGAAGAGATGAACTGGAAGGGCAGAAATACAAAGTTAAACCAGCAGCTGTTGTCTCTGAACAAATTTTGCGAAAGAACTGTTCTAGTGTAAGTCACCATGAGGCCTGCAGAATTCTAGCATGAAAGGCATTTATCTATATTGTGTATTTTTGTTTAATTTTACAGATAATGTGTTAATAATAGAATTGATACATAGGTATTAGGCATGTTTCTAGTTATTTTTATGAAAAAAGTTATGTTCTGATATTTAAGCCAGCAATAGCTCAATTTCTAGTTGTATCTTTGAAAGGAGTCTTCCTTAAAATGTGCGTTACCTGCATTGCTTGTACGTTCTTTCAAGCTGTTTGTTTCCATACGGTTGCAGAACTGTTCCGCTTGTGCATTATTCCCTATAGTGCTTTTGTGGTAACATTGTAAATCTACCAGTGTTGTTTTTCTTACAATCAGTTTGGCAATTTAATTTCAAGAACTGCATATTTAAAGGAAAATATTCAGGAGTGGATGGAAAAAATAGCTGTATGAAGTTGAGAAGAATAGCAGAATATCATAAAAACAAACTAGATGTCCATGATTTAGAAGTGTCCTCTATTTAGGACAGTAAATGATTTGACATATGTACAGCAGTCTCCTAAGGAAGTGATGGCAACCTCATCACTTGGGACATCTGAAATGCACAAAACAAAGCATGAAGAATGTTTTCCAGGGAGTAGTCCTTCACTGGCAGGAAGAAGCTGAGTGATATTTTCCTTCTTTTTCTTGATTGATTTCCTTATAGGTGCATATATTGTAACACTCTTCATAAAAACAAGTAATTGTCACAGCAATAAATGCAGGTGCAACTTTATTAGCAGACAGGAGGTGACTGCAACCCTCTGTTAGCGTTCTTCAGCGTGACAAACGCAGTCACAGGTGAGGGTCTCTAGAGTGTCCATGTCACTGAGTAGAGCGCCTTTTCAGGCTGTGGCTGTGGCTAAACCTCTAGTGGGTCCAGGAGAAATCACACTGAAGTTGACCAGAGGTTTAATTTTGACATCTGTGAGAACAGAGGGAGGTACATGTTGTGTGATACGTTAGTGAAAATGGATAAACATACTGCAACCTCTTGGTGAAAATGATGAGATGCATACGAATGACTCGCTTAGGGAGATTTTATAAAAATACCCCTTCTTGTATCCTAAATTGTATTTCTCTATCTTTCCTTTTGTAAGTGCAAAGGTGGAAAAATGAGTATGAGTAAAAAAAGGCACTGTATGATAAGCGATCTCTTGAATATAAATGTGATGTGATATTGATTTCTGTGGTGAAATTTCTGCTTTTGAGAAAACAGCAGAGGATGTTCTCTGTGGAAGAGTTTGGTGCCGGGATATTTACGGCTGTTGAAGAACAGCTGCTTGCGTGAATTTGGAGGGTTACATTTGTGCCCCTTCCGGACTAGCTTTCAATAAAGGATGGTAGTTAAAAGCTGGAAACACTTTTTAAATATTAATGACTGATTCCATATGTGTGTAAGTATGCTCAGGCTGCCACAGGATAGACAAACTTATGCTAAGAGCAGAGTAGTATTAGAATTACTGGCTTCAGTTTACTGAGCACTCCTCAGATTCCTAAAATCAGAAATGGTCTCACTGACATATAATATCCTTCCTATTCTTTCTTCCACCTGTGTCCCCACAGATGTGAGCATCATGCTGTTTTGATATAGTTTTGCCTGGAGGCATTTTCTGCATGGCCTTTATTCATCCCAGCATCTAGTCTTAGCAAGAGCCTGATCAGTAATTAAAGTTTGGTTCTCCACAGACCCATGCTATCTTCAAGTGAGCAGTCTGATGAAGTTCACAAATGATACAAAGTCAGGAATTGTTAGAATTAGGAGAAAGAGGCATACGTTTCTTTGAATTAGGTGCAGAATATACACAGAAAATCACCTTGGGAGAAAAAAATGAAAGATATTCAAGAGAAAGCAGAAATCTGGAAACAAAAATAGTAGCAAAAGAGAGCAGAAGCAAGGGTAATAACGAGCAGTAATTACATTAGATAGCACTCTAATTCTATATGGCACCAGAAAGAACAAGTATATTTTGAGGCCATCTATGGAGAATCATTGCATCACGGAGGATGTAAACAGTTGTACCTTTCTATGATCCTTTTGAGACTGCACCTGGATTATTGAATTCATTTCTGGGCAACTAGATGACAGAAGAAGTATTCAAAATTGGATGGAGTTCAGAGGATAGAAACAGTGTGAATAACTTTAGGTTGTTTAAAGAGCATGATACGTTAATAGTTTTTTGTAGAGTTTATTATATAGAAATAGCACGTAGCTAACGTAGGATAATCCCTTTATGAAAGTGTAGATAGTATGTATATTAAGAAGTAGTAGAATTATATTTTGAAAGGTAAAATATGTAATAATTTATCAGAAAAACTTTATCACGTAGGAATTTATTAGCGCATGGAACAAAATGCTTCTACCTTCTCATTTTGGACACTAAAAATAGACTGGACAAAGTATGAGAAAATGCACTTTAGGGAACAAAATTGGAAAGTCTGACATTCCTTACCTCATGTCTGAATCCATGTTTTCAACTGGTCAGCAGATGTATTATTCAGTTAGGTCATGCCTAGGCCAAGCTTTGGGTGTTACACAAGAATCTATCTCAAGAAAAAAAGATTGCTTGGGTGTGGTGCTGAGGTGTAAAACAGCAAGCCTGTGCATATTGGGAATTTCTACATGGCTTAGCAAAGCAAGTAGAGAACACGTTTACAGGAAAGTCACAGAAAAGGGAAGAATATTTCAAGTGTGAACCTGACCCATTGTCTAATGAAATCAGTGGTAGTCATTTCCTTTCACTCAAAAGCATCCTATGTGGTACCATAGAGGAGCCTCTTGTTTTCCTAGCTGACAATATTTTCATCTCTTCATATATATTTTTTTCTTGTTGCAGTCATAGTTTTATATGGGAACAAATACAAATCCGTAATACAGACTACTTATGAATGTAACATAAACTACTTATAAACTACCATTATAAATGTAAACGTTTTCTTTAAATTACAGCAAGAATTTCAGGATTTCATACTGAGACTTAGCAAAGCAACCAGAGAACAGACACAGAAAACATCACAGAGACATAACATAAATTGACGTAACAATTTAACCAAGTAGTTAACATGCATTACTAAAATTGTGTTCAGACTTAAAAATGTTTACTTGGGACTGCTTTGCCTGATTGTTCAGTTGGGTGTTTTACATTTCAAAGTAAACACAGAAATGGAAATGGAAATGGTTTTCCATCAAAAGAGATTCCATTAATCTCGAGAAAATTAGACTTATTATAAAGCTTGGAAAAGATGTTCAGCCAGGTAACTTTTACCGATTACAGTAGATTGTAAAGCACTCAGTGTATACATCAGGGATTGTTGTAGCAGTTTTATTTATCCATACAAAGCTAGACTGATTACGCCGGACTTACTCATGAAACATTAATACAGCCCTATGTTCAATGCTAACATGATTATGGTCTGACCTCGGTGATGTCAGAAAGGACAGAGGCAGAAAGTGTCCCTGATAACATTACCCTAATGCTGGGCTCATCAATCATAATCTCCCAGTTTACCAGAAAGGGAAAAAAAAAAAAAAACCACGCATAAAACCTTCCACAGATGTGCATCTGTAGTCCTACTCAGCCTCTCAATCCCCACAGACTTAGAGCAGCCCTGAGAGCCAGAAATAGAACGTATTCAGTCAGTAAGTCAAGCATGTTAAATCAAGGCAGGGAACACCACTGTGAAACGCTGAAGCAGAGCTTTTATAATAAGCATTCTTTAGTTTGGAAACAAAAGATGCAATATTGTGTAATTCAAAGTTAATTATAATGATATAGCGATTATGGCTTATGCACATATTAAATTACAAATTACAGTGTCGAGTAAAACACATTCAGTATAAATTATATTTTTGAGAATCGAAATGGTGTCCTGTTTTTGTAATACATATTTTGTCACTATTACATAACTCTATTATTAAGACTGAATTTTCTTTCTTTCTATGAAGTGATTTATTTACACTCTTCTGCCACCAGTTATATTTTTTGTGCTGTTCCCTGGCTGCTCAGAGGCATGCATAGTATTTCATAATTAAAAAGCTTCTTGAATAGTCATTAGATACATATATTATTAAATCTCTGCGCTGAAGGTTCTGGAAGATTTATCTTTTTCCCTCACTATTCAGCAGCAGTTGACATTCCTTTTTTACCAGAGAAACAGTAGATATGATTTTATTTTACCTCATCAGTAGTAGTTTGTTTGATTTTATTTTTTGTATTGCAGTCGCATTAGTTCTTAACGCAATTAAATTCATCCATAGCTCACAGGGCTTTCAATCCAATTGGAAAATTGCAGCAATTTTTTTTTTTTTTTGAAACTTGCAATACTGCAGAAGAATCTACTTATATCACAAGTTGCATATGTAAAGGATCAATTTCCCTGCAAACATCCCAAAACAACCCAAATCTGGAGAATGCACTTCTCCTTCAACAAAATGAATTTTCAGGTTTCCTGCTTTATTTTATGGCAAAAGCTAAAGAGTTTACTCCAGTAATCAGTCCAAG